CGATGAGGCAGTGTATATACCCTCATATCTTAATCAGACGAAACGGCTAAAGCTAGAAACTTGAAATTCTGATTGTGGGTTGTTGTTGGTGAAAAGGCTGGGCTTATTAAATGGTTCTAATTGTATATGGGCAATATTGCCAATTTTTTCATATTCCATTTTCAAAAAATCAGCTTTTTTGTTTTTGTGGCACATCAATTATTTTTGGTACACATATAGAGACAGATTTTGTGACTCCGAAACCGTTCGCGATCAAATATTTGGTTGATGCGCGCAAAAGTTATCGAGGTTTTAATTTTGGGCATAAGAAAAAAATCTTAAAATTACGCCCTTTATTATATTGACCAAAAACATTGATATAGATCTTCCTCCGTAAAATAAGAATATGAATATATTATAAAAATCGCGATAAAGTTGCACATCTTCGCGAAATATGAGAAAAGTAAAAAAATATAGGAGATTACTTCAATATTTTCATTATATTAATGACATACACACACCTAAAAATTAATTTAAAAATATCTACATAATCTAAACATGATGAATCAAATGATATCAAAATCACACAAGTCCGTGTTGCGGTTTGTAAATCACCAGATATTGAGGAAAAATATTTGTTTTTGGTTCGAAAAAATAATGTCATCATATTTATTTTTTTAATTTTATACAGAAATTTCAAAAAAAAAAAATGTTGGAGTTATTCTGCTATTTTACCCGAATTTCGCCGAAAAATTTACATAATAATAATATTTTTTTTGTGTACAAGTATACGCCTTGCGGATTATATCAAGACCCTTCCGATAAATCTTAGGGTTCTATAAATAGGAATAAATCTTAAAATAAAATAATATTATGAAATATACATTTTAAATTGCGTGTAAATCGCGTAATTCTCAAAATCATTTGATGCGCATGCGGGAAGTACTGAAGTTTATCTTCCAATCCATATATATTTTGCGAAATTCCATTTGACGGCTAAGATGTGCCACACGTTGCATTAAAGTACCCAAAAAATCGTAAAACGCGAATAATTTCGAAAACTCCATATGCCATTAACGCGCATCCGATTTCGGTGTGCACTCTAAAAAAATACATCGATCTATACCGATTTCAATGTGGTCCATTAAGAACCATGGATGTGCCAGCTCACACTATTTTTGAGATAAATTGGGTACATCTCTCTTTCGGCTGATGTTTTTAAAGTTCTCTTTTCGAAAAAGATCAAAATCCGTATGAGGTCATTTATTGAAGCGGAAATGATCCACAGAAAACGCAATTAAACCCGCGATATTTGTAAAAACATTTTTTGCCAAATTTCGTGTTTTTGGAAGGCCAGTTCCCGCCGTTCTAGTAGATGGATTTTCACAAAGAAGATTTTACATCATCCGAAACGTAAAAAACCTTATTGATCGCGGGTACCCATATTATTCAGTTGACAGATCTGAAAATTTGGCCCGAAAAATAGGTTTTTTAGAAATTTGATGGCACAACATTTTCACCTTCGGATGAGTATAACTTTGAAGCTGTGCATACTACATACCCAAAATATATATCAAATTACTCAGATTCGCGACTAGAATACTCTTATAATCCATTTTTAGAAATTCCTGTTTGCGTATTAAAGCTAGAAGTAAAATTCAAAAAACACTCAAAATCGAGCTTCAAAATGTCAGCATCGTTTAAAGGTAGATGCAGTTAAAATTTTGAAAAATGATACATAAGGGGCGTAGTCCCCATTTTGTTGGCTTCTAGTTTTACTTTGACACGAAGACAGTGAAATGGGTGGCTTAATCACAAATCGATAGAGAACATAAAAAAACTGGTTCGCCTCAACCTGTTTTTACACATTTTTTTACATTAAAGTAGGCACAGCTTCCACCAAAATAAAGTTTGGAGGTTGATATCATGTGCAGTTTGCAACGACAGATCAATTAACCCAAAACTATTCAATATATATATATATATATATATTGCACATATGAAACTAGAATCTTGAAATTTTATAAGGGAATTGGTGTTGATGTATGAATAAGGATTAAGAAATTCGTACAAAATGGTACTAAATTTGGTACTACTTGCATTTCGTTTAGTGTATAAAGATGGAATCCTGAAAAGAGGAATTAGGACTACCATTGGAGTACATGATTGAGGTAGCATTAAAAAATTGTACTTATGTGTACAAAAAGTACTAAATGGTACTAAATTTGGTGCAAGTTGAATTTAGGTGAACGGATAGAGCTGGAGTCTTCAAATTGAGAATTAAAATGACTGTTGGAGTGTAGGTACTGGTACGAACATTTCTATATGGTACTAAATTTAGTACACTTTGGATTTTGCTTGAATGGATAGAGCTGAAAACGTGAAATTTGGTATTATGATTACTATTGAAGATTGAGCTATGAGACTTCTTTGGAAATTCGTATTTATGTGCAATTTTTGTACAATTTAGATTTTTGTTAACGTATAGAAATGGAAAACTTAAATTTGGAATGAAAATTACAGAATAAAGGTAGTATTTTTACTAGCACTAAATATGGTACAATTCATTTTGTGTGCGCGGAAATCCTAAAATTTGCAGTTAAAATTAAAGTTGGAGTGTAGGATGAAACATGGAGGTAGTTTTAAAAATTTGTAATTATGTGCACTAAATGGTACTATGTTTAGTACAATTTAGATTTGAATGAAATGATAGAGATGTAAAATTTATATTTGAAAAAAAAATAATTTTTTTAGCACATGATTGAAATAGTGTTGGAAATTCGAACTCATAAGTACTAAATTGTACTAAATATGGTAAAATTTGGATCTATGTGAATTAAAATTACTGTTGCAGAGTTGAATTGAGGAAGTTTTAGAAACTCGGCTTAAATCTACGAAAAGTAATAAATTGTACTACATTTGGTACAATTTGGATGTTGGTGAACGAATAGAGCTGGAATCTTTTAATGTGGACTTAAGGTTATTATTGGAGTGCATGGCTGAAGTAGTTTTGGAATTTCGTACTAATGAGTACGAAGAGCACAAAATTTGGTCCAATTTGGACTTTGGTGAACGAGTAGAACTCGAATCCTGAAAGTTGCAACATAGGATACCGTGGGAGTGTAGGATTGATATAGGTTTCGAATATAAATACGAAAAGTACAGAATGGTACCAAATATGGTACAATTTGGATTTTGGTGAACAGACAAACCTGACATTTGTAAATTTAGACTTACAATTATTATTTGAAAGCAGGTTTGGAATATGGGTGCGAAAAGTACAGAATTGTACCAAAATGGTACGATTTGGTTTTTAATGACTCTTGAAGTGTAATATTGGAAACTCGAATGTATGTCTACGAATAGGAAATATAATAGAAAATGCATTAAATTTGGATTTGGGTAACGGAGAGAGCAGGAAACATAAAATTTGGAATGTGGCTCACTGACGGAGAGTTAGAAGGGTTTTGGTACTAAATTTAGTGCTGGTGGTGGAATATGGGTGCGAAAAGTACAGAATTGTACCAAAATGGTACGATTTGGTTTTTAATGACTCTTGAAGTGTAATATTGGAAACTCGAATTTATGTCTACGAATAGTAAATATAATAGAATTGCATTAAATTTGGATTGGGGTAACGGAGAGAGCAGGAAACATAAAATTTGGAATGTGGCTCACTGACGGAGAGTTAGAAGGGTTTTGGTACTAAATTTAGTGCTGGTGGTGGTACGGAGTTGGTCTTGAAAATGTTGTACTTATGTGTGTTGTCCGAAAAGTGCTAAATGGAACTAAATATGGAACCTGTACGTAAATATATAATTGTAATGCTGATCTATTTTAAATCCGTGTAATGCAATTAATAAGAAAGAGATTTCGTAAAATAGTACTTATGTGTATGAAGAGTACTAAATGGTAATAGATGTAGGAATACAGGTGGAATTCAGAACTATAGTACAACAAATTATAACAGTATTCACGACTTCCATAGGAAATATTATTATAGAATTTTTTTTTGTATTTCCTTTCCGCATACGAAGTAGCGGGCACTTTGCTAGTCTATTGTATAATTTAATTTGGAACCTTCGAGTATAGAATTTTGAGAACCCATTTATGGCCACTGATAGAGTTGGCATATTCTGAAGTATAATGTTTACAAAATGGTATTAAAATGTCAAATTATTTTACAACTTTTCTACTTGTTCCGCATTATTCCTCATTATCATTATAGCTCTTCAACTTTATACTGTAAATACAAAATGTGATTATTTACAACTTTGGATTTACGCAAAGAGGAAACACTCGAGCCACCACCAGTGCGTTAAATAAATTTTATTTTTGCGAAAGCGAAAAAGTTAAATACTAAGCATAAAATTTAATGAAAGCGCAAAAAATGTAATTTATCCCTCACATTATTCGCTTCTTCATTAACGATATTTGTGTTTCGAAGTATCTTCAGGGAAAGCAACGTCGTAACGTAATGGATATGAAAAGCCACTGGCTTACTGACCGACCGACATAAAATATGATGTTGGCTTCACATCCTAACAGCGCTTCAGAGTTGATGTCTCTCTGCATCACTGCTACGGACACAAAAACTTCTAACAACAAATTAATGTTTGCAAAGAAAAAAAGTAAAAGTAAGAAAACAAAACTTCATCAAAGTGTTTGACAAATTATCTAAGTAATCCTTTACTAAGGTAAAAAACTGGTCGTTACATTAAATTCAAGTTAAGGAAATGAGATGTCCTTGCACAAAGCAGTCCTTGATTTAGAGGATATTTTAACATAGTTTTGATATACCCACTTATTTCCTGAGATGATGTAAATGAGAATGATTTTTTCTTATTTCACTAAAAATAATAATTTTTATTAACGAAAAAATAAATAAATTAAAATCGATTATAATTATTACAAAAGAATTTCACTAATTTGCACTTAAATTACGATTGTATTGTTTATTGCTTTCTTTATTATTTTTCTTTGACTCCTTATTAACATTGCCCCAACATTCCTTGCGAATCTTCTCTTTAAAGTCCCGAAAATCCTTGAGCCGTTTTATAACGCAACGATGAATAATTTGGCTGATAATTCGGCCCACAATAGTTGGAGGTGGGAAAGAATCCACAAGGACCGGTTAAACCATCGGCCGCACTATTTGCACTTCCCGCTGCAAAGGTGTTATACGAAGTGTTCACATAGTTCTTGGTCGTTGCATACATTCCCAAGGCAGATGGAAAACTCAATGAATATGCCGCCGCTGCTGCAGCTGCATGATGATGATGGTGATGTGTATGATGGGGATGTGCCAAATTCATTTGCTGTTGCAGCAACACAGCAGCCCCCTTTTCTGGGGAATATTTGTGGGCCGTTGTTATCGGTGGCACCGGCTGTGGTGTGGTTGTCATCAAAGGTCTTCCTGTGGTCGAACTACGTTCATTGCGACGAAATTTGGCACGACGATTTTGGAACCATACCTGTACACGAGCCTCACTTAAGCCCACCTTAGTGGCCAATTCTTCACGCACAAATGCATCCGGATAGTGTGTACGTTCGAATACCTTTTCTAGGGCTGTTAATTGTCCGGACGAGAATGTAGTTCGATTACGTCGTGGCTTGCGGCCAGAATGTGGTGACGTCGATATATCGTGATGCTGATGGTGTTGTTGTTGCTGCTGATGTTGTTGGTGAAGATGTTGATGATGGTGTGTGTGATGATGATGATGCTGATCGGCAATAATGTCATTTGTGAGCGATGATGTTGTACCAAAGTCATTATGAAAGGTGTCATCTGCAAGAAGAAAATAAGGATTGGATTTTGATTAGTTTTTTTCAATAAATTTTTATTAAAAATGCCAGAAATTGTATTAACTTTTAAATCACAATTTAAATTGAGTAATAAATTTGTGTTTTAAATTAAATTAAAAACAACTTAAAACGATGTTAGGTTTGGCCCGGGCAATATTTTGTTACCCTCTACCATGAGAATGACATTCAAAATATGTAAAAGTAATGGGGGCTTCTTGGAGAAAACTCATGTTATGATAGGAACTTGAATATACTAAAAAATTCCTATAATATCGACATTGGCCAATATTAATAATTTTTAGAACTGAAATGTGTGGGTACTGTTATATTGGGGCTACTCTCAATTCAATATTAATCATTTCTCGTACGGAGATGTACTAAACAATGAGAACAGCCAATTCGCTTGAAAAACGTGTCCACAATCTCCGAAATACCAAATATTGTGGGGTACCTTTGAGTGCCGACTACCCTGAAACTTATGTCAATATTAATAATTCTTCGCACGGTAAAGAAGAATCCAAAATAGAGCTAATTCGCTGGAAATACCGAATATTGGTGGCTACCATTATAAAGGGGTGCCCTTAAACTTGGGTCAATACAATTTTTTTTTTGGTACGGAGATGTGCTATACAATCAGAACCCACAATAGCAAAATACGCCAATTCCCTTGAGAAACATGTCCACAATACCGAATATTGGAGGTACAGTTATATGGGGTCAATATTGCGATCTCAATATCGGATTTGATCCAAACTCCATTTAATTGTAAGGTGGGAATCTCTGGAACCTGGAGCTTCTTTTGGAAAAATCATATATCTATACTAATAAAAAAGTAAAGTGGATGACTGACTGACTTAACTATTCATCGCTCTTGGTCAAAGAAGTCAGATAAGGCTGGTTTTTTGGAAATTCGTACTAGAACGACATGAAAAGTACTAAATGTGTTACCATTTGTATTTGGCGAACCGGTGCAGCTAGAACTCTGAAATTTGGATTGAGGGCCATTGATTGAGTTTAGAATAGATGTAGCAAAGGGATTTTCGAACATTCAAACTATAAGTATCCGAAAAGTACTAAAATGTACTAATTTTTGTGCAACTTCGTAGCATGTGAATAGATAGACCTAAAAACTTAAAATTTGGAACGCGAATTAAGGTTGGGAAGTAGGGTCGATATAAGGAGGTGGTTTTGGAAATTTTTTACATATGTGTGCGAAAAGTACTACAATTGGTACAATTTGGATTTGGTTGGACCAATAGAGCTGGGATCCTAAAATGGAGTTATTATCATTGTTGCGGTGTAGGATTGGGGTATTGGTATATGGTACCAAATTTGGATTTGAGTGAACCGATAGAGCTGGAATCTTGACACTTGGAGTTATGATCACTGTTGGGGGTGGAATTGAGCTATTTAGAAAGTTTTGGAAATTCCTACTAATGTGAACTAAATTTTGTACAATTAAAATTATGGTTGAACCGATGTATGTAGTTTTGGAAATGTGTACTGAATGATACCAAATTTGGATTTGGGGGAATCTTAAAAATTTTGGAATTAAGAACTAATTAGTACTAAATTGGGTACAATTTAAATTTTGAATGAACCAATACAACTGGAATCCTGAAATTTGGAGTTAGGGCCACTGTTAGGGTGTAAGATTGGGGTATGTACCAAAGTTTGGAAATTTGTACTAATGTGCCAAATGGTACCAAATGTGGATTGGGGTGAACCGATAGAGCTGGAAACTGAAATTTGGAAATAAGGTTACTGTTGAAGTGTAAGATTTAGGCATGGATGTAGTTTTGGAAATTCATTTATAAATAACTGTTATTTAATTTGGATTTGGGTGAAGCTATATTTGTTTTTTTCTTTTTATTAATAAGTATTCCAAGAGTACAAAGGGTAAAAATTACACAAAATTTAGTATAGATGTAGATTTTTGTTGCGGTCAGAATTGACTTTTTATTATTTTCCTTAAAATTGTTTTAAGGGAACCCCACGCATTCTCGATTTTAATTTTTCAAGATTTTCAATGGGCTGGTAAATCAATACCAATGCTGGTTAAGGTTTGTAACTTTACACATATATATTTGAAGATTTAAAAAAGAAGAAAAATAATTTACAAAAAAAAATTGTTATTGTTTTGTTGTTGTTTTTTGTAATTAAAGAAAAGTCCTTATTTTTGATGGCGGGCATGATAACTCCTCACTGGATCATCGGAATCCGAAAATTCCAACTGTGTTAGAAAGAGTACATGTTTGGCGCTCGTATGTACTAGGATTATTGACTTCGCTCTAAAATTAACAAAATGGTGGACCTTTGAAAAAATATTTTTGGAAAATCGCCGATTTTTTACCAAAAACCAAGTTAAAAAATAAGGAAGATCTTCACCGATTGGCTTTATCCTAGTTCATACGAGAGCTATACACTCCCAGAGAAACGTTGCAAAATTTGGAACCGATTGGATTATTAGTTTTTGAGTTATCGTGCCCGCCATTCGCAAAAGAGAAAAACGCGTTTAAAGTTTGAGAAGCCCTTTAGCCGTCACTTGATGCTGACACAATGAATCGGATATATCTTCAAGAGTTCTTGAGATTTTCACTTGAAATTTTGTAGAGACATTCTTTAATCAGTGTAGATTCAAATTATATCAACAAAAATTTTGACCCCGAGAATGGGGGGTCCCCTTAACTAAGTTTAACTAACTTTTCACAAATTGCTCTATTAACACATATAAGGTGTCATATGAAAGGGCAAAATACTGTCTTTAAACTAACATATTTTAGGTTTTAATTTTTAAAGAGAGAGTGAAAATCATATTTGCCAAGATATTCAATAACGGTCCAAGTTTGGACATAGCCTCCATATTAATGTAATTTGGTGTACCAGGTTCTTGGAGGTTGAGCGATAATTTTTCAGAAATTTTTCTATATAAACCTAGGTGGTGACATTGCACCCATATAAAAGTCCGCCTCATTTTTGGCAGTTTGAGGGTCTTAACCGCATAAGTTATTGTTTATACCTTCAGTCTTATGAGTAATGACATGACCCAACATAACTGGCCAACTGGCTACTTAAAGCTATTGAATATCGCTTACCAATACTGATTGACCTTGGCCACAAATACAAATCATATGATTTTCTCATTTATTTCAAATCACCATGTCATTTTTCTTCACATATACATTTTCTTTTCACCATTGACGCCACTTTTAACATTTTTCATTTCTTTGAAAATTGTTTCTCTGAACTATAAAAACAAATTTTTCTCAAAACTATAAAAATTGTGATATTTTTGTTAAAATATCAATTAAAACACCTTAATTCGTTTCAAAATGAAGCAATGTCCCCCTGTTCTTGGCACTTTGATTTTAATGTGACACATTCTTTATGGATACAACTCATAAAATCGTTATAACAGGCCTTACTATGTTGGGGGAATAAATAAGCAGGGCAGATACAGTCGAACGGACGGACAGACAGACAGACCGAGCAACAAATGATTTATAATTAGGTGTAAATTTATGGCTCTTTAAAATATAATTATTCATAGTTTAGAGAAGTGGTGGTGGTGTTGTTGGTGGCGGTAATGGCTGTGGCGGCGTGGCATGAGTATCTGTTTATGTTTGCCGCATCAACAGCTTGACAGCAGCGCCGTACAACAACACAAATAATACATGCAATAAAATAGCTGCTTATGAGATATGTACACACATATGTCATAACGTTGAGCGGAGGAAGGTATCTCATAGTCAATGTTCAGGACGAACACAACATGCTCATAACATGACCCACAACAGACATATTAGCTAAGGGGATATACAAACAAACAGGCACACAAACGCACAAACAACAAAGACCGCAGTCATTGCGGTCCCGATTTGCCTGATGATAAATTGTAACATCTTTATGCACCATATGTGGGCAATTTTAAATGAGAGCAGAGCCACTCACTTGTCTGTCGTTTTGCACAGTTGTCATACACGTATGTAAGTATGTATGTTTGTGTGTATGAATGCGAATAGAATAGTGAATGTGAAGGCGGTAGTGGCGGCTCTTTTTGTTTGAAAAAATCTTGAGTTGTTTTCCGTTTTTTTTGGAAAACAAACTGATTTTTGACAAGAAATACTGTGAGTGACAAGTACTTTGATATAAAAATAGTGGGAAGTATTTTTTTTTAATATTCTATAATAGTGATAATGAAGGTAAGACACTGTATAGATTTTAACAAATATCATTATATCTTAAAAATATATTGATCTATATTATACAGGGTTGGCACCCAACAATAATTGAGTTTCTTTCAAATCGTTTGCATGATATTATAAATTTGTTTTAAATTTTTATCAAAATATCAACAATTTTTGTGGGGTAGCTACCAGAAGATAGATAAAATAGATATTACGATGTGCAAATATCGTTTGGTCTGACTGGCTGATTACATTAGAACGAACATTTCTAAATAGTCTCAATATTGTCTGAACCTGATATAAAACATACGATTTTGTGTAAATCGCGAAGTCAAAAAAAGTATGGAAAGTATGAAATATATGGTTCAAGACTTCAAAGATAAAATGTATGCGACTATCGAGGACACATGACATAATGTGGAACTGTGAGTTTTAGATAGTAAAAACACAGTTAGAAGAGATTATATAGACGGACGGAGCCGACCATATGATATTCTACACGACTACCACTGAGCGCCCAGTTTCTGTGGATCTAATATCTTGACCGATTGGATATCATTAACTGCTCGGCGGCATTATTTCCGAATCTTAGTGATGTGCAGGTCATAATTGTGGCCTCTAGAAAGTTTTTGATCCATTTCATCACCTAAATATTAACCGATCATTACCAAAAAAAAGGTTTTCTTTGACCAGAATACGTCCTACATAAAAATTTCGTGAATATTGGTCCATAACTGTGTCCTGTTTCGTGTTTACAGATTATAATAGACATACTGACGGACGGACGGACACACAT